ATCTCAATGAGTAAACAGTAGCTCGGATATTCTCAGCGTGAAGAACACAAAGTCTTTTGTGGTAAAATTTCTTTGTTTTTTTATTTATTTAAAGGTGACTGAGAACTCTTGAAAGCATTAGAGAATTTGGAGACGATGTAAGTTGTGTGATAATACAGCAGAGGGGTGTAAATCCGTCCAAAGAAAAACTGTGAACAGCAATAAATAAACTGCTTTGTGTTTTTGTTTACATCAAATAACCTTTTATTATAATTTACAGATGAAACACTGGAAGGCTGTAGGATTAGGGGGATTGTGTTCCAATAGGTTTACATCTTGACAGCATCATTTATAATGTTTTGTTGATGACAGTGAGAGTAGTTTGTCTTTGATACAGTCAGACTCAAACACTCAGATATTCTATTCGGCAGCCACATCAATCAATACTTAAATTCTTCCACTTGAGGCAGGAACTCTCCTCCAACCTGAATGGTACACACCATCTTTTTCTGTCCAAGAACCATGGCTTTGGGCTTGGAAGAGCTGATTCTAATCCCAAATAGCTTTGTTCAAAATGTGCAGACCCACACATTCTCATCTTCATACTTTGGACCTTGTGCCAACATATGGTATTGATTGTGAATTAATGTCTGTTTCTACAAAACCTGGTCCTAATTTGTCACTTCTTGGCAGCCTAGTCTAAAAAACTTCTTGTCCCCCAAAAGAAGGTTTCACATTAGCAAATAATGCAGTAATAATTTAAAGAATGTTCCACTTTTTCATCTCTTTGGTATCACAGCACAATACTGTAGAGGACTGTCATGTTATTTATTTACCTTCACAAACTGGTTTTGTTAATAGTTATGTCTGCTATGTGCGTTGTATTAGACAATTTATTAAATGTATTCACCACAATGTTGCTTTTATAGATCACTAAAATATGATTTTCCTGGTCAAGATTAAATTCCTGCTAAATAGAACTGTAATTATAGATTTTTGAAATTATCTTTTTGCCAGCAGAAACATCTGAATGTAAAAAAAAAATAAAAAAATAGAATTGTACTAGAGAGATCTTTACACATTTTAACATTTATTAGGTGAATATGTATTTTTTAAATACCTGAAATACATTTCTTTCTACTCAAAATGAACATTTTACACATTAAAAATAACATTCTTCATATCTAAAATCGACATTTTAGATATTTTAATTATAATTCCTACTAATATGTGACATAAAATTAGTTAATTTCTTAATTTCGCATTGTAATAAATCAGTTAAAATGATTCAAGATTAATACACTTATACTTAAATGTGTACTTTGCCATTTTAAAATGTAATTTTTTAAAGGTTTTGCAAGATGTTTCTAAGGAGGAACCAATGTTTAGTCTGTTTTTTGTACTTGGTGAAGGACAATGCTGGACTGCAAAATGTATTTCTATAGACTCCTTCGTTAATGAGTTAAACACGTTCTCACGGCATCACTAGAAACACCTGTGTCCAATTATATGTCAGAAGAAAAATGAAGGCCTTGTGCACATGATTCATCTTGGAGGAAGTTACACCTGTAAATGAGGTCAGAAAATTAAAGAATTAGCTCTGAAATTATCTTAAGAGTTTAATAAAATTGTGCAGTCAACTTGCAGAGCTGTGTAACACCAATTCCTCCCTTTTACAAACAGGGTAGCATCATATTGCTAATCCATCACAGAAAAGCTTATTAAGGTTCAAGTACACAAAACATGACTAAATGTGTGCCAAGACATCTAATAAACATGATTTTTTTCCTTTCCAAATATTCAGTTGAATAAATCTGATGTTAAATTCTGTACCAAAAAATATGTTTGTGAAATATATAAAAATAATATACTATAAAAATTACTAATGCTTATATTCTGATTAATTGATTACAGAAATGTCTGTCCCACAATCTGATCATTTTAACTGTATTGGAACACTTTCAGTAACACAGAAACAAAACTCAAAGCTGTTTTTCAGAAATATTTAATTTTACTTTCAATATCTTCTTGTTTTATTTAATAAAAAAAGGAAATATATTAATTCATATAGTGTTAAGTCAGAATGAATGACAAAGTTTAACCAGAGGATCAGCTTTTTACAATAGAGAAAATCCCTGTGGTGCTTCTCCACTGAGCATTCAGCAGCATCGATAACACGGAGCAGAAGAAGAACGCACAGCTGAACGAGTTTGAACAGAAAACTTTATTAACCTTCTTTTAAAAACCATCAGTGACATTTGAGTCTTTGTGTTTTGCCTCCTGTTCAGGTCTGAGAGCACAGAGGAAAGAAGCCTCAGAGGTTCAGGTTGTTTAAACACAGTGAAGGAGCACAGAGGAAACAAACAGTTATTCAAAAATACTTTATAAATACAGAGAGGCGTTCAGTGGAAATATAAACAAGAGGTGTGTTTGCATACAGAAGCTGCTCTCAGACCTGACAGGATCGTAGACACACGAGGAGTCCTCCATGTGTCTGAATCATAATCCCTGATCATCTCTGCATCCATCTGAACCTTCATCATTAAAAAGGTGGAGGAAAAGTGCTTCGAGGAAAAAGGGAGCAAAAAAGGAGAAGCTACAGCAACTGAGGTGAAGTTTAAAGTGTGAGCTGAGAAGAAGCAGGAGGTGCTTTATGGTAACAGAGAGATGAGGTCTTTGTCTCACAGCCCTGCATCGTTGTAGGTGGGACTGACCACCTTCAGGATGCTCTGAGCGTTCTCCTCCAGCAGAGGACGCCATTTCACCTCTCCGGTGAGCAGAAGATCCTCCCCGTCCAAAGCATCAATAAACTGCATCTGGGAAGAAGAGAGCAGGGAAAGTTTAACCATAAAGCTACCATAACTTAATGTTTATTCAGATTAAACCAGACGGAAAACAGCCGTGACTTCATGGGATGATCTAAATGAAGAGACTAATGCTGATTTGGCATCTCAGATGGTTATGAAAGTATTTTACCAATAGTTCCAATGACCATTTCCAACTTTATAGCTCCATAAAAAAACAACCAGGACTTTAATAAGCCTTGCTACACAGCTGACCTGCTGAAGCTACGTAAGAAAAAGAACAACTTGTATAAAAAGGTATATTAAACCCTATTCTGCTCACTCAGACCGTCTAGAATTCTGGAGAAATAAAGATAATAATTCTATTAGATCTGCAAAAACAGAAATATTATAGTAAAGAATTCATCAGCTGATCAAATAATACAAAAGCTACCTGTAAAGTAATAAATCGTCCGCTTCAAAAAGATGAGGCCTTTTCTGATCCAGCCTTTGTTTTTATATATATATGTTGCTTTGTGCTAATTATTTTTGTGCAGCACTTTACTTAGCTTCTAAGATGTTTTCAAAGTGCTCTAGAAATAAATTGGTATGTATTAAACATAAAGCTACAGGTTACACAAACTGTGAACAGAAG